CAGAGCCGTCAGATCGTGAAGCTCGAGCGCTTGGTCCGGTTCCGAAGGCGGGCAAACTTGTAAGCTTCTCGATACTTGCCCCCGATCATGCGGATGGGGACAGCAGCGCAGCGTCTCTTCAAATGACGCCGAGGCCGCTGTCCTCGCGTAAAACGTGAGCACCAGTCTCAAAAACGGGTCTCAGCTCAACAAGACGCCGCACCCGCTCAGTCAGGTCGGTCCAGACTCCCGCCTGCGCAAGGTCTCGGCGCAAGTCAAGACATACCGCAGACACTTCCATTCGCGGGACCTGCGCTCAGCAACCGGCCGCACAGCGGATTTGTGTCGCGTAGACCGCCGAGGCTGACGCGCAAAGTGAAGCGAAACCCCAAAGTGACACAAAAGGTGGAGGCTCGAGAAAAGTAACAGGAGGACGTGACGCGCGCCTTCATTTTTCCTCCGCATCTTCCCTCGTGGATTAGGTCTTTGACACATCCGACCATCGGATGCGCCGATGAGACCATCCTCTACCTGTGCTGTTGCTCAAGCTCGACTGCATGCATGTGCGGGAGGCTTCCGACACAAACAATGTTCCTCTTCGGTGTCCCCGCTGGGCTCTGACCACAGCATTGCCCACCCGAAGCGACGCGCGCGACTAGCCTGACGGTTCGAATCCAGACGTCATGCCACCCAAGTCAGCGGCTACGGCGTCGCAACCTTCAGGTTCCGAGCCCGGCAGCAGCAAACAAGGCGATGCAGATCATCCCACCGATGTGCCTTCGTACCTTCGCTCGCTGTCAAAATCACAACTTGCTGCGGCTACCCACCCGCCGACGGCATGCTTGCAGATCCTTGCCGGCCCAGGCTCGGGCAAGACGCGCGTGCTCACTTCCAGAGTCGCGTGGTTGATCCTGGACCCGAGCAACCGCCTCACGCCCGAGGACATCCTGGTCGTCACCTTCACCAACAAGGCCGCCAACGAGATGAAGTTGCGCCTGGTCAAGCTGATCGGCAAGGAGCGCGTCGACAACCTCGTCATCGGCACCTTTCACTCTGTATGCGCCCGATATCTACGAAAGTACGGCCGTCTGATCTCGTTGCCCAACAACTTCACCATCATCGACTCTGACGACGCCAAGCGCATGCTCAAGGCCATCATCAAGGAGCTCAAACCCGAGCTGGACAAGGAGCACATCTCGCTCAAGCCGGAAGAAGCCATGTCGGAGATCTCCAAGGCCAAGGCTCGCGAGATCGATCCCGTCAGATACAGACAGCTCGCCGATGAGGAGGCTGCCAGGGCGCAAGCCAAGAAGGCAGCCATCGGGAGGCAGTTCACAGGGTCGGCCCCGTTCAAAGCGATCATCTCTACGATCTATCAAATGTATCAGGAGCAGCTCGTCGAGGCCAACGCGCTCGACTTTGACGACTTGCTCGTGTATGGCGTCCAGCTCTTCCGGCGACAGAATCAGGTGGTGCGTAACATCCGACACGTGCTTGTCGACGAGTTCCAAGATACCAACGTCACCCAGTACGAGCTCATGCGCCTCGTGGCGTACTCTTCGCAGGCGGTCAGCATCGTCGGGGATCCTGATCAGAGCATCTACGGCTGGCGCAGCGCCGAAATCGGCAACCTCGACAAGATGACAAGGGAGTTCAAAGGGACTCAGCAGGCGCGCCTCGAGGAGAATTACCGCAGCACCGGCGCCATCCTCGAGCTTGCGCTGCGCGTGGTGCAGCAGGACACCTCACGCGTGCAGAAGGACCTGTACACCTCACATCCTCGCGGTCCGCCAGTGGTGCTCAAGTGCCACGGGTCCGCCCAGCTCGAGGCCGCCTACATTGCGTCCGAAATCAAGCGGCTCGTCGCACACTCGGGAGGCATGCTCGACTACAACGACATCGCCATCCTGTTACGCTTCAATTATCTCTCCCGCAGTATCGAGGCCGAGCTGCAAGCTAGGGGCATCGACTCGAGGATGATGGGCGGGCACAAGTTCTTCGACCGCATGGAAGTCAAGGACCTGCTCGCCTACCTCGCCCTTGCAGACAACCCCGGCTTCACGCCCGCCTTCATCCGCGTCGTCAACGTGCCCAAGCGCGGCATTGGCGAAAAGAGCGTGACCGACCTGCTGAACATGGCTAAAGCCGAGGGGTGCAAGCCCATGGAACTCGCCGAACGCGTCGTGCGGGGCGGCAAGAATCCAGGCATCAAGCCCGCCGTCAAGAAAGGGCTCAAGGAGCTCGTGGACGCCACCGTGGTTGTGAGAGAGGCGGCCAGCTCGGGCGAGCCTGTGTCCAAGCTTATTGAACTGCTCATCGACAAGATCAACTACGAAAACTACCTCAAGGCGCAGCAAGACTATGAGTCCCGCTGGGGCAACGTGCAGGAGCTGATCTCCTTTTCCGCCGTTGTGGCGCAGAACACGGACCCAGACGCGAATGCGCCAAGAGTTCCGCTGGAGGAGATGCTGTCGCACACGCTTTCGAATCAGGAAGAGCGCGTCGATGACAATAGCGAACAGGATGACGACTTCGAAGAGGTAGAGATCAAGCCCACGAAAAAAAGCAATGTGCGCTCGACACACCCGATGTTCGACAAGAAGGGAGGCGCGGAAACATCAACACGGCCGCGTGCCCCCGTCAAGAGAGAAGTCATCGATCTTTGCGACTCAGAAGAGGAAGAAACAGAGTCAAAGCCGCAAGCAAATCACCCGGAAGAAGACCTAAAGCCAGGCCCGGCCAAGAGGCCGCGGACGCAGAAGAAAGAGGTCGAGAAAGATCTCATCGAAGAGGATCAAGAGGACGAGAAGCCATCGCTGCTCACGATGCTCGACGAGGTCGTGGAGAAGAAAGGCACGCAGGAGGGATCACAGGCGGGGGATGCATCTGATGACGAGCGCAAGACGCCACTGCGTGTATTCCTGGAGGCTTCGATCCTGGCCACGGACATGGATGCAGACAACGAGCAGAAGGACGAGAAGGCGAGACCCAAAGTCACGCTTTCCACCTGCCATGCGGCCAAGGGACTGGAGTGGCCCGTGGTGTTCATTCCTGCGATCGAGGAAGGCTGTTTTCCGTCTTTTCGATGCCACAAGCCAGAAGAGATCGCCGAGGAGCGCCGTCTTCTCTACGTCGCCATGACGCGCGCCGAGGGCGTACTCTACCTCTCGCACGCCACGGCGCGCATGCAGGGCGGCGAGACGCAGGACAAGATCCTAAGCAACTTTGTTGCAGCGGTCGCACCCAAACGCAACGGCGGGTCGTGCGAAGCGAAAAAGGCGATTCAGTTCTGTACCGATCGGCCTGAGCTGGACTTGGACGCTGTGCGCACGGTGGCAAAGGTCACTGGTAAGCCAGCGCCGAGCGAGGAGCTGGTGGAGAAAGCCGTGAAAGAATGGAAGAAAACGTCCGGCAAGGAATTGGAGCAGGTGGACCAGATGAACATTGGCCGCATGACCGGTTTTGGGACGTATTCAAGCTATGGCGGCGCGGGCGGGTACACGTCGTCGGGCGTGCACAGAGGCGCGACGGGCGGCTGGAACTCGCAGATGGGATTCGGGCTCTACAGCGATGATCGGCTCAGCACGCACGGCGAAGGAAGCTCGAGCGATCAGGAGCTCAGGCGAAAGCTTGGCTTCTCCGCGCCTACCATTGGCGGCTTCTCATCCGCCATCGACGAAGGCGCCTCCCCTCCGCCAGCATTTTCGGGCTTTCAGCGCGCCTCCTCCCTGGCTGGAGGCCGCAGCGGTGCTACCAGCTCTGGTGGTGGATTGGGTGCGTTCTCAGGTCGGCCACCGCCAGGCGGCTTTGGCAATGGCCGACAAAAGCAGCCTTTGGTGCCTCCATCCAGGCAGGCGCAGGCGCAGCCTCCCGCTCCGCCCTCGTTTACGGATGCCGTGCGGCTCAAAGCACGACCGGAAGACTCGGTGGCGTTGGCGCGCGAGGACGGCACGGCGCCCAGACCGCGTGCGGATCTGAACAGCTTCCAGCAGGCTCACTCGCAGGGCATCAGCAGCATGCTCAGCATGCTGCCTGCAGACTCAAATGCTGGTGGCGGATCACGCGCCTCGCCCATCGAGGTGTCGGACCCGAACGGTAATGGCGATGGCGGCTCGAGTAGCACCGGCAACGGATCGAACGGCAATGCGCGAGGACGTCGGCGGCTTGGCATGAGTCGTCGCTTCTAAGGCCGCCGCAGCAGCGTGAAGTCGACAGCAACGAGAAGGTCATTCGCATGCGTTGAAATCGCCAGATGAGCACCGTCGGCTGTGTATCATTTGGGAGGTCGAGCGGAGCAGCGGGGTTCGTCTTGATTGCTCGTATTTGAGAAGTCCCTGAGCCCGGTCGAAGCGTTCCGGAAGAACCGCACCCACAAATTCGCCGATTTGGTTGCCGGTCCCCACGGAGCTACGCGGTGTGGCTGAATCCGCCGACGGCCTTCTTCTTGCTTCTTTACATCTGCAACCTCCTTGACCCACCCGGCCAGCTCGTACACGGACACAAGATCTAGACGCGACTCGGGTGTTCCAGACCATAAGCAACACGAACCTGTTTCAACTCCATCTAGACACCATCCCGAGACAGCACATCCAGCATGACTGTGCCGCTGGACGCTACGGTGCTGCCGCCTACGGGCGGGGTGCCAACCGCCGCCAAGCCGGCCGTCGAGCCGCTCCACGCCGTTACCCCGCTCATCTACTCGCAGCGGCTCAGCACTGCCACAGGGCAACACATCTGGCTGAAGCTCGACTGCGACCAGCCTTCGGGCTCGTTCAAGATCCGCGGCGTGGGTAAGATCTGCCAGTCGGCGATCACGCGGTATGGCTCGGCGACGCACATCGTGACGTCTTCGGGCGGCAATGCTGGTCTGGCTGCAGCGCATGCTGCCAGTAGCGCCGGCGTGGCGAGTACGATCTATGTGCCGGCGTCGACCGAGGCCGATGTTGTGGCGAAGCTGCGAAGCCTCGGAGCGCATGTTGTCGTGGGCGGCGATTCGTGGGACCAGGCGGATGCAGCGGCACGAAAGCTGGTGGACGAAACACAGGGAGCGGTGTACGTGCATCCGTTCGTGGGCGAAGAGCTGGTGGCTGGACACTCGGGACTCGCGGACGAGGTGTACGACCAACTGCACGCCCAGGGCGCTGGGGAGCTGGACGCCATTGTGTGCTCCGTCGGCGGTGGCGGGTTGCTGCGCGGCATCATGCAGGGTGCCGCCCGTTATGCGGGCGCCAAACCGGCTCTGGTGGCAGTGCAGAACTTTGGCGTCAACTCGTTCAACCGCTCGCTCGACGACCATCGCGCCCGCGGGGAGGCGACGCTGCCTGAGGATGTGGTGACGCTCGCGGCGATCGAGAGCAAGTGCACTTCGATGGGCACAAAGCGCTGCTCGCTCGAGACGGTGCAAGATGCCATCCGGTACGACGGCGACGTGACCACGCTTACTGTCACAGACAACCTATCGGCGTCGGCATGCTGGCGGTTCTCGGCCACGTCGGCTGAGCTCGAGGCCGACGGCCGCACGCGCCTCGTCGAGCTCAGCTGCGCATCAGCACTCACCCCCGTCTTCCACACGTGGATCCTCGACGCCCTCATCGCGCGTACCCCTAGCCTCGCACGCAAACACGCCGCCGGCAGCAAGCTCAACCTGGTCTTTGAGGTGTGTGGCGGCAGCAAGGTGAATGCTGAGCTGCTGGCTTCCTACAAATCCTCCGCTGGCACCATGGACCAGCGAGACCGCATCCGCATCAACGGCCAAGACATCCCGCCATCAGCCTAGAATGTCAAATGCAAAAGTGGATTGTTCAAAGTGGTGGTGGTAGTGACTGGTGCATCATCGGCCCAGGTCGGCGAGGATCTCGGCCTGTCTGTGCTGCGAGACGCGTGCGAATCCCTGGAGCTGCATGTTGAACTGAGCATTGCCCGCTGTGAGCGCACGGAGCTTGGACGAGTATCTTACGAGGTTGGCCAGCGGTACCACGGCATGAATCTCCGCCTTGCCTGCCTGCTTCTCCGCCTCGCCCCTGCCCGACGCAGCGCTGGCGGACTGCATCTCGAACCGGCTCTCGCGCGGCGGGATGTAAACTGCATCCTCAGCCTGCTCCTCGGTCTCGGAGCCATCCTGCTGCGAGCTGGTCTGGTGCACAACATCGTTGACCAACCCATCCTGTTCGGCGGTGATGTCGTTGATCACCTTGCCCAGGTGCACGGCGGGCACAGTGATGCGCGTCGCCATCATGGGCTCCATCAACACCGTCCTTGCCTGACTGGGCTGCACCACCATGCCCGTCTGCGGGTCGAGCTTGGGTTCGGTGCGCAGCACTTTACGCACGAGGTGCGAAAGCACATACGAAATGGCTGCGGACGAAGAAAGGTCGCCAAACATCTCGATGTTGTCCACCGTGACGCGCAGACCCATGAGCGGATTCGAGGTGAGCGGCCCACGAGACAGCGCAGCGACCATGCCGGACTTGAACATCGCCTCCACGCTCGCCATGTCCACACCCGCTGGCAGACCGATCGTTGTGGAATCCTCCTTCCCAGCGGCTTTCGAAGAACCTTTTCCGCCAGAGGTACTTTGGCCGCTGGTCGGAGGCGATGCGAGGACAATGTCGACGACGTTGCCTCCGAATACGGCCGCGTCTGGCTGACTGATCCTGTGCTGCTCGTCTTCTGCGAGTGCACTCACTCGGATCCTCGCGCCGATCTTGATGCGCTTTCCCGCCAGATCCCTCTCTACCACCTCGCTTGCCTCGAGCTCTCCTGCGCCCTCGTCCACCGTTTCGCGGTACGATACCCGCACCGCACCCATCCTCGCATTGACGCCAAACTCGTTCTCCAGCCGGTCCTTGGCGATCTCAAGGTGCAGCTCGCCCATGCCACTCAGCACGGTCTGACCCGTCGTTCCGGCGCCTGCCGAGGACCCCTCGTCGAGCCTAAGCGAAGGGTCGGTTCGAATGAGCAGGTTGAGCGCGTCGGACACTGCGTCGACATCGGACTTGCTAGCGGGCTCGAGCGACATGCTGAACACGGGTGGCGGGATGTGCACGCGCTTCAGCCGGAGCGTCTTTGCGTCCGCGGCATCGAGACCCTTATCGCTCTTGGATCCAGCCGGGGTGGAGGAGACATCGACCAGAGTATCGCCCGTGCGCGTGTCGCGCAGACCGAGGATCACGCCGATTTGGCCTGCGCGCAGACTCGCAGTCTCGACGTACTGGTCTGCAAAGGGGAAGAGGACCCGCGAGAGACGCTCGCGCGCACCTGTCGTTGTGTTGAAAAGCACCGACGACCGCTGCAGTGTGCCCGAGTACACACGCACGAACGTCGTCGGACCGCGTCGCTTGTCGTGCACCACCTTGAACGCGAGTGCGGTCGTGCGCTTGTCCTTGAGCGACAACGATACTTCTGCACCCGCATCTGCTTTCGCATCGTTCTTGCCGGCTCGGTGAGCGACGTTGCCGACCACACTTGGCTTGTCCGTCGGGCTGGGCAGGTAGTCCGCAATCGCATCCAGCAGCGGTTGGACACCGACATTCTTGGCCGCCGAGCCACACAGAACGGGCAGCACCGTACCCGCGAGCGTCTGGCGTCGGATAGCCTGCCTGAGCGAAGCTGCTGGCATCTTGCCATGCGGTTCCTCGTTCGAGCTCGTCGGCAGGCTGAAAAGCTCCTCGAGGAGCTGGTCGTCGAGCGAGGCGAGGCACTCGACGAGTGCATGGCGCGCCTGCTTGGCTTCCGCGTGCATCTCGTCCGCCTCCTGCAGCGGTTTGCGAGTGACCGTCTCGCCGGCCTTGCCCGAGAACGCGAGAGTCTGCATCTCCACGAGATCCACCAGCCCGGAAACACCCGGCTCGTCCTTGCTCTTGAGTGGAATCGGGAGCTGAAGTAGCAGCGGGCGCTGATGCATACCGGAGCGGATGACGCTGCGCAGCGATTGGGTCACCGAGCTTCCCATGCGATCGAGCTTATTGATGAACAGGATCGACGCCTTGACGTCGTACCGCGCTGCTTGCGACCACACGTTTTCCGTCTGCGACTCGACGCCCTCCACGCCGTCGAGCACTACTACCGCGCCATCGACTACTCGCAGTGCGCGTTCCACCTCGATGACAAAGTCGATGTGACCTGGCGTGTCGACGAGCGTGATCCCGACGGTCTCCCTTGTGCCGGTGGCTTTGGAGGACGAGGGCTTGGGCCACCAGACGGGGCCCACGGCGGCGGACTGGATCGTGATGCCTCGCTGGCGCTCCTGCTCGAGAAAGTCGGTCACGGTGCTTCCTGAATCGACGTCGCCGGGAAGTGCAGCTGTGCTTCCACCTCCGCCGTTTGCTGCGAGAGCGTCTGTAAGGTGCAGCAGCCGTTCCGTGAGCGTGGTCTTGCCCGCATCGATGTGCGCGATGATCGAGATGTTGCGCAGCGCCGCCACGGGATGCTTCTCCGCGTGGGGCAGCCCGCTATCGGCCACAGACCAGCGTGGCGACGAGCAAAAGTATCGGGCGTGTGTATGTGGCGATTGCAGTGTGGAGTCTGCGCTGCGAGAGGGTAGTGCATTGCTGGTGAGGTAGGAGCATCTTGCTGCTGCGCGAGGTGCCGTAGCCCTGCATGCGAGCGCTGCCCTGCTGGTGGATATCGTAAGACATGACACAAGGCTTGCGCGCTTACCAATGCTTGAGCGTGCCAGACTCATACCCAGGATCCGCGCTCTCTAGCGTTGCTCTAGGCTGCGTTGTGTGTGCGTGCGTGTGGACAAGTATACGAGAAGAATGGGCAGGAGCAAGAAGAAAGGGCTTCTTGCTGCGTCGGAAAAAATAGGCCGACTTCCGAAATTCCCGCCATTCCCATCCTCGACGCTCAGCCTCGGCCGCACTCTTCCTTGCTTTCTCACCTCGACACGGTCTGTCTAAACAACGCTGGAATGGTTATGGGAGAATTGCATTGGAGTGTAGTCACACGCGTGTAGAAAGAGCAGCCGTCGTCTCTACTGCTGGGGCTCGGCGTGCTCGGACAAGCCGCGCCACTGCACGGGGGGAGGGGGAGAGCCGGCGCCGCGCGGTGGGTTCTCGACCGTCACAAAGCGACGCTTGCGGGGTGACTTGGCTTCCGTGGCGACCTCGGAGGTACTGGCTGCGGGCACCTGCTCAACGAAGCGCGATCCGGCCGCTGCCGTCGTGGTGGATTGCTCCGCTGGCTC